GAGTGTCAAGAGGATGAGGCCAGCCTCTTCTCCGTGGTGCCCAGCAACAGGACAAGAGGCAATGGGCACAAACTGAAACCCAGGAAGTTCCATCTGAACCTGAGAAAAAAATTCTTCACTGTGAGGGTGACAGAGCATTGGAACAGGTTGCCCAGAGAGGTGGTGGAGTCTCCTTCGCTGGAGATATTCAAAGCCCGTCTGGATGTGATCCTGGGCAATATGCTCTAGAGGACCCTGCTTGAGCAGGGAGGTTGGACTAGATGATCTCCAGAGTTCCCTTCCAACCTCAACCATTCTGTGAGTCTGTGACACACATTACTGACTTTCAATTTCTTCTCCTCAAAATGAAATATATATCTACAATGTGATCTGTATGTATAGGTATAATTGCCTACTATTTACCTCTAAATTGTAGACTGTTATTTTCTTTATGTATTAGTTTCAGAACAAGAAATTTCCATTCCAAGAAATTAAAAATTAATTCCATTTACTACTCCATTAAAAAAAGATACTCTGGTTAATGTCGCCTCTGTTAGCTTGTGAGGAACTCATTACTGCCAAGGTAAATATTAATATTCTGAGGTATCTCAGGATATCTGGGTATTTGAGGATACCCAGATATCTGAGGTAGAAAATACAGTTCATTTCCACTTAGCCAGCATCACCCGCACATGCTGCTGCCTCAACTGTGAAAATTTCTGCTACTTATTTAAGTACCTAAATACGGATTCAGCCACCTAACTTCCGGAAAATAAGAATGAAATTCTGAAATATGTTCCTTATATCATTTGGAGAGTGACATTTTATATTGGTGATTGCAAGGTACCAAAAAACAATCACCAAAGAAATATCATCGATGTCCGAAGGGTTTCAGTGTACAGTATAGAGTATTTTATAAAGGTACACAAGCTTTCTGATCAGTTCAGATGTACTCCAAAAAACTTACAGCCTAGCTAAATTAAAACTTCCATAAAACTTTAAAGACTAAGCCAATATAAATTTTTTCTTACCATAGATTACCATTTTGTGTTTAGCACTTCGTTGCATCTAGATTTTGTTTCAAAGCTACCTTCTATTTGAGCAGTTTGCAATACCTTTGAAGTAACCTCAGATGTGCCCAAAATATACTAAGCCAACATATTCTATGAGTCCATTAATAAAACTCCAAAAGATTACTGTTAGTCTCATATGTCATGTTACCGAATATTTTAACATAAAGTATTTTTCTGTAGGAAATCTCAATTACATAGAATTATGAATGTTTAGTACTACAGAATTATTATTTTTATGTATGAATTTTAAATTTGCTGAGAAGAACCCGCTCTGGAGAGCAAACACCATTCACGAGCTTAGATTAAGTTATCAAATAATAATTACCAAATGATTTTGACCAAAACAAAAATACCAAAAGGTGTGGTCTCTTCATTTGTTTACCATTCCTTCATTCCTTTTTGCCTTGGGAACTAATCTAAAAAGACCAAAAAGTGAAAAAAAGGAGGTCTACAGCCACAATAATGACAGTACCAGTTCCATTTTTAGCTGGATAAACTGGTTCCTGGATATGAAAATCCTAGCTTTAATTTTCTCCTCTTTTTGAGAGGATTTGATTCCAGATCATCTACTTCTGCGAGATCTGTTTTCGTCAGTATGCTATAAGGCTGGGGTGCTCTCAACCTCTTGCAATGTTTTTCCACTCTCTTTACCTTTCATTTTTTCAGCTGGATAGAGGGGTGGACAAACCCTTGTGAATAAAACACTTATTTGGAAGAAAAGGTGGTCTTGGTTCAAACCTTTACTCTGAACCAGAGGATTTTTGGGTCACCTACATCACAAAGAATACTTCACCTACTGGGCAACGGGTAAAAGGATAGCTAATACTTTTGGGAAGTTTTTTTGTTTGTTTTTTAATCTTCCTCATTATTCTTGCAAAAGGGAATCTGGGATTTCACTGTTCTACCATAGTTGTATTTTTGAGTGAAATATGAATAAACATTGCAATAAATCACACTTGCAGAAATCCAGCCATCTTGCTTCCCCAATAGCAACTCTTGCTATGTAATAAAAAAGGCATTTAGAAAGTAACATACTCGCATACTCCTTGCTAAAGAGAAATATTATATATAGACAATCCAGCTACTCTCCAAATACATCAGCAAAGCTACAATACTGTCAGCCCCTACATTTCTTCTCAGGTTGCCTTTTCTCCCATAACTAACTGAGAATTCAACTTACAAAAGGAATTCTGTAAGCTAGGCTTTGCAGAAAAGGACCAGTCAAGGACAAAGCATTTAAAAGTCAGAACCTAACAGGCATTTTGGAAATGGTTTCATCAGCATTAAACAGAATGCACAGATAAAAAAATACCCTTTATGAACTCTGTCTTTTCTGGACAATATATTACAGATATTTATTTTTCATTGGGTCAACCCTAACTTTAAGTGATAGGTTAAGCTAAATGCTTCATTTTGTCTTTATGCATTCTCATTCCTTGTTATAAGTTTCTAGTAGCTGATAAAATATAAAATGGCACTTTTAAGGTAATTTGTTATATAGTTTACTATCCATAAAAATAAAATGTTAATGATTTATAAATAATACTGCTAATCTCAATAAAATGTATCTATGGCTTTTAGGATGGCTTCAAACATGGAAAATTAACAAAATACAGCGAGTGAAGCTGAATAATTATGAAAAAATAAGTTTTTTATAACAGTAAATGACAAAACATTGAAAAATGCAGTGAACTAAATTACTGTATATTATAATCTGAAACTCAAAGTCTTGCAGTGATTGCCAGTGTTCTGTGAATGATAAAAAACCCAAACCTTTAAATATTTACATATGCTGATTATGAAGCAATATGAGTTCTATTTATACAATGTAGAAGATTTTAGAAAGAGTTAACCAATCACATTAAAAAGAAAATGATACTAAAACAGATATGACAACTACAGTTACCAGTTTAATCAGCTTTTTTAGAAGCTTATACATTGTAAAATTAAATTTATGATAATCAAGTAAAACAAGAAGTCAATTCAACAACTTTTACTCCTTACCATTCACAATAACAGTTATGTCCCGAAAGTCAATTTCTCCTCTGGCTTCCACTCTTCCTTCACATCTATATACTCCTTCATCACTTTTATTGATGTTAAGAATTTGGAGATTATTGTTTGCTAATACTGCAAATCGATCTAGAAAGGCAAGTAAAGGATTAAGCAGTATTATTAGTAAATCAAGACAACACTGGGAATCTTAACTTATATTAGTAAAATGATGCACTTTCTCTACACAATGAAAATGACCATTGACAAAACATTTGGCTACTTAAAAGTAAAATGTAATCTGAGAAATTTGTTTATTCCACACCAAACTACATTGTCATTTCCTAATACTCAAATAGGATGTTCCATTTATGACTTCCTACTTGCATTTAATGACTTGTCAAAAGTGAAATTCCTAAATTATTACAAAATGGGTAGAATATTCATGAACACCTATATACAACAACAAAAAGATTCAAGATATGGAAAAAGATAAATCAAGCAATTTAATAAAGTAAGAAAATGCTTCTTTGCTCTCTATCTTGATCAACCAGCTCTTTTTGTGCCCATTTTATGGCATCATGCCTAATCATTTCTCACCTTGTTTGCTCTCTTTCTCTCCCCCGGTCCTTTGCTTATACACTATTGTTCTTTATTATGTACCTCACTATAGTCTAATATTTCATAGATATGTGTATAAAGACACCAGTCCAACAAACCATTTCACTTTCTGCATAAAGTCCAGCATAAACTTAAATTCAACAGACTCTTGCAGCAGCTCGAGTGCATTGCAAAAACAGATTCTGAACAAGTGTGCAAATCTTTTGCTGGAGATGCAGCAGCACATTTATAATCTGCAAGAGTAAACTAAATGGAAATTTAATTTTTCTCTCCTATCTGTCTGAACTAGTCAATATTAATGCACTCTTTGAGGAGATTAATTCCTGCAGGTCACTGTGTGCGGTTCTTGGAGCACCTGTGTACTGGCTACTCAGCACTTTCTTTTTCTATTTAAACCAGTCTCATGCTTTCAGTATTAGATGTGATTTACTAGCTTTCAGTTGTAACCAGCAACCCAGTGCCATTTTTTACTATGTTTTCCTTTCCTTTTGACTCTGCTGGAACTATAAAACATGCTAGATTCCCCACAACACAGCACTGATATTCCAAAACAGCAATAAACAACACTCGGTAGAAAAGCTTTTATGAAGTTATACTGCGAAAAGTCTATTTATGGAACATACATACATACATATCTACAAGTGAAGTAGCTTTCTATGCCTCATCAGTTCTGTTTCATAGTCAAAACTCTATCAGAAAATGAAGTGGGAAAATGTAATTATGCCTCACCTGATTGAGGTTTACAGGACATCAATGACCTCAACATATTCACACTGATTATGCCTAGTTTATTAAACACATGCTGGATCATTAATGCCATTTCACACACTACCACATACAAATTGTATTATCTTTTTCTTTCCTGTCCCTACACAATTCTCAGACAGCTGTGTTTGAAGATATTTTCACTTTGGTGAACTTTTTATGTGTTAAAATAAATTCTTAATGTGTGAGGTAAAGCAGAGAATAATTGGATCACCTTTATTCTTTAAAATGTGGAAAATAAGAAGGGTGTTTGAGGGTTCATTTAATAACAGAAAAGAAAAGCAAAAAGCTCTGTTGGTGTTGGCTGGATATCTTTTCAACTTTTATTGAAGAATAATGTTTTATCAGGGACTTATTACTCTACACTATGAGGAAATGCATAAAATAGGAGATATTCTTATGAGTAAAGCGGGCATAACAGAAGGATAACTTTTTTTTTTTTCCCCACTGCTAATACTGTCTATCATACAGACAAAAATATTAATACAGGGTGTATTATAAGGAAACAAAAAAATGGAATGTGAAATGAGCATGTGACTTTCTTGAGAATCATCGTTCTCCTTATTTTTATCCTTTGGAAAGCTTGTGAAGGAATAGCTCATGTCCCTGTAAAAATGCCACTAAGTGCACAATATTATTTTTAGCAGGAAGCAATTGTGCGTAGATAGGCTGGGGCAAAAGCCTAAGTGAAATTTCAGCAGGCAGAGGTTAGATCTTGATAGACTCATGTGCACTATGGAACCCCAGGAAGGTTGAAGAGCTCTCTGCTGATAGCTGGAACAAACCTGGGCTTATGGTTTTTAAGTTTTACTGTATTCTAGTATACATACCAGGCTATGAATCACATCTAACAAAAAGGTAAGGCACAGCTGTTCATTCTAAGATTCCAACAATTAACATAACTCAGGACCTCTTGAGGAAAAAATCAAAACTTTTGGCAAAAGTTGAAGTACAAGACTCCTATTAACTAGTCCCTCAAGCAGCGAAACTAGTCACTCTCCACAGCAAAGACTGCTTCTCAACACAGTAATTTCTTCTTCTAGACCAAATGTGAAAGCAGAATGCAGCCATGTTAAATGGAGGGACATTTTCCATACAACAGATAATACTCAGCTCTGCACATTTACACAGGCACATTTAATAGGGCTATTACACTGGCTCTCTGCAGACAACTGAACCACTTTTTCCACTATTGTAATTAAAACTGTGCAAAGTATTGACTTGAAGCAACAGCCTTCAGTTACCAAATCTCTCAAAATTATCCTTTTATTTTCTTTTCTCAGAGAGTATACTGCATTGAAGAAATAGCAGAACTGGATTGTCAGAGCCTATCCAATATGATCTAGAGGGTCAGCCTGGTTCATCTGGGAATCTGTTCCATGTAGTCTGTAAGATAAGAGAGACTGCAATTTTTTGGACTATACTGCTCGTAAAATGAGATCATCATCACCCCACTTGAAGTGTCAGGAAGAACTCAAAACGGCACAGAAAATATGAATTTAGCTTTTATAATTCTATCAGTTACTGGGCGCTGCACATCTGTTTAATATTTTGGCTTCTAAAATTACATCTGTATTCTTTAAGAGATTTTCCTCCTCCCAGTGCAGTGGTATAGTCCTACAGTCCTACTATCTAGGGTAAAAAATTCCTAACAGAATCACACAATTGTGAATACGAAACACTAAAATACATCAAATCACACAGAAAACATGAAGGATGCACCAATCCTCAATGTTTTCTATCCAGTCAGATATAATATACAATTTTCTACACATATAATACTTAAATATCACATCTGTACTATGTTCACAGAAAACTATGCTTTCAGTTATCTGATAGTGGAATTCTGACATACCTTTGTAATTTGAGCTCTCTCAGAATAAACACCTGGCTATATACACAGACAGCAGGTAATTTATATGTACATCTAGACAAATTAGTGTCTAAGACATTCATATTAACAGTGGCAGCTATTTCTTCTAAGTTATTTCTAACCAGGCCCATAAATTAATATGCATGCCTGTACACAAAATTTTTGTATTTGCTTTATGTATTGTAGAATGAGCAGTATTCAAAATCCCTTGAAACATTAGCATTGTACCAAAACTGAGCAAGTCACTTACAATTCCAGATAAGATCTGCGCCAAAGAACAATCCCATTCACTTTTATAGCTAGTACAATGTCTCTGACTCCCACACAATGGAATTATGAGTCATGACAATTCAGCTCTTCAAAAGAACAACAGAGAAGTCCCTAGAACATTCCCAGAAAATTCTGCCTTATATTTTGCTTTATCATACTTTAGCCAATCTATCATACTTTAATCAATTTCAGACCAGAAAGACTCTTTTGCAGGTCACTGTTCTTCTAAGCTTTTTTGTTTTCCTTTTACTAAAGGATGATGGACAGCCATTCCCACAGTCACATTTTCATTTGCAGCACTAAAAAGAGACCGCAGGTCTTAGGATGGTCTAGCAATGGTGTAGATAAGGTATTAAGTACATACTATATTAGATTTACTATATTAAGTATTAGATACACACTAAATTAGATATTACTATATATCAGATAGGTATTAGGTATCTCAGAATAGTGAGGTGCTATTTTCGGTTAGGTATATGCCTCCTACATAGGACAAATCTTTAAATTCTCACTTCACATTTTGTGAACTGGCCTTCTGGAGAAGTCAGCCTTCTGTTTAAATGGAACATAGAAATACAGACAGTAGTAACTGTGAAGGATCTGCAAAATTCAGAATGGTCAAAAATGTAACAGAAAAGTCATGAAACTAAAACACTGATATTCTCATGTCTTCCTATGATGCAAGTACTAAAATGTTTAAAAGGGAAGCTGCTTTCTAATGCAAAAAAATAAACTGTGCAATATGTGTTCCACTTTAGATATGAAATTATCAATATTTCAGGTTACTATGAACTAAAAACAATGATAATAATCAGTTATTTCTTTAAAAGGTATCATTTAGCACATGACAAAAATTTTGATATTATTTAATTTTCAATTATGTGAATAGGATAAAGGTACTGATTCCTCACTGGAGATTTTGAACCAGGAAATGTAGCATGAAACTTGGTCTTTTTATATCACAAGGCATGAAAAAAAAGTCTTGACCTTAAGATTTCACATATACTCCTTTTCCACTTTCATGATAAAACCATATAGACATTGCCAACATTCATGAAGTTCACTCTGTCCTATTTTTACAGCTGTTAAAGCCTCACTTCCTTCCATGTATTGGCTCACTACTGCCTATTCTGTTACATATCAAAATATAATAGAAAATATCCTGATGTTTAAATTAAAATCAGTTTCTATTATTCTACTTTTTCACAGTGTAAATATTATGGAAGAAATAAGATAGAAAGATCCATGCACTGAACTTAAAAATTCAGATTTTTACAAAATGTGTGATTTTGAAAAAAGTATGCATTGTTTTATTTCTTTTGAAATAAAAGAGCCTATGAGAGAGTGAGATTCGCAAAACAAAAAAAATGGCAATAATAAAAACTTTAAGAAAAACCTTTGGGGAAGCTT